GGGGGCGGGGGCGGGCCGTGTCACTTCCCGGGGCGTCCCCCCCCCTCCCCCGCCACCCCCCGCCACCTAGCTCCCGGGCGGGCACCCGGTGGCGGAGCCCTCCAGCCTCCCCGGCCGCCCGAGCTCAGACCCCGGTCTTGCCCGCGGCCGAAGCCTTCGGGTGGGCTGGCCGGGGCCGGGCCGCCCCGGGGTCATTGTTCGGCCGCGTCTTTCTGCTTTTTGGGTGAAGCTGCGTGCAGGGTCTGGAGCTCCCCGGGCGGGCAGTTGCAAGTTGTAGGGATCCAAGCGAGGAGTTGTGCTCTCTCCCGGTGGGAAGTGGCGCGCGCGACCTGGGCGGCCCGGGCGCCCTGCCCGCCACTTGGTGGGCCCCCGGCCTGGACCGTGCGGAACCCCCGGAGCCGAGCGGCCGGCCGAGCGCTCCGGCGTCCCCGGGTTCGGGGAGCGGGTTGCAGAGGGCGGGACTCTTCTGGCTCCGCCGCTCTTTGTCGTTTCCTGCGGGGAGTGGGGGGAGTCGGGTTGCAAGTTTACATTTCAGACCGAACGAGTATACATTCCAGACAGCGAGGCTTTCCTTGATGGCAGAACCAACGGACCCCAGCCCTCGCTGCGCCCTGCTGTCCTCCTCACCGGGGATTTGCAGCCTGGCTGCCAAAGGTCTGGGGTCCAGCCTGTCCTTTCTTACCCACCCGTGTCGGGAGTCGGGGCCGTGGCTGCTCTCCGGGATCCCCGGACCCTGGACCTTCATAGTTTTCTGTCTAACTTTCCTCCTGCTCCTTTATCATCTCCGTCACCCAGGCTGCACTTTGCCTGACTTGTAAGGCCTTTTGTGACCTTGGCCGCCAGGTTGTGCCTCTGGGGGCTCCTCCTGGGGCTTCTGCTCCCGCAGCGGGCAGGCCCCCCTGTCCCTGAGCTTTTGCGGTGCCATGCCTACCCCCACTGCTGGTCTCGTCCAGTGCTGGCCCTCTGACTTGGGCAAGCCTCTGGGGCGGCCCTGGCCCTCAGGGTTCTTTCTTTTTTGTGATTCCAGTGCTTGTCTCTATGAGACGTCTGCGGTGTGACAGTGGAGCTGTTTGGACAGTGGCTGTGGGAACAGTCAGTCCTGAGACAGTCCTAGGTCTTCTGGGCCCACACTCTTGTTCCACATACCCGCGGGTGGGTGGGGTGTGTGCTTCTTGCCGCAGGACCACTATGGCTGAGCTCTCTTCCCACCCCATTTCTAGAGATGAGGAAGTGGAGGCCCATACTTGGGCACGGAGGTCAGCGACAGAGGTGGGCTTTATGACTCTGGGACCTGAGTGTGTAAGCAGCACCCTGGGTACTTCCATATGGTTTCATCCCAGCCACCCTGATAGAAACGTCACCATCCATCTGCAGCTGTTGGGGGAGGTGTGGGTGCACATTCTGTTTGGGACTGCTTCAGGTGTGGTGACAGTGGGGGTCCCGGCTGTGGAGAGCCTGCTGGTGTGTGTGAGTGAGTGTGTGTGTGTGTGTGTGGAGTGAACTGAGGACTGGAACACAGCAGAGACAGATGGAGGAGTGCCTGGAGCACTCAGGAGAGGCAGGAGGCAAGCAGAGGAGCAGGAGCACAGACAGCCCTGTGGAGGAGGCAGGGAGCAGCTTGAGCTCTGGCTGAGAGCTTTTGCCTCCCCCCTCCCAGTCCTGTGGGGTGGGACTCCTGTCACTCCCACTTGACAGAGGTGGAGAGAAAATACATTGTTCATACTGCTAGTAAGTGCTCCATCTGGGATTGGAACCCTGGCTCTGGAGTTGACACCATCCCACTGAGCGCCAGGAGGTGGGGAGGGGCTTCTCTTTGGAGCTCTGCATTTTAAGATACATTGACACCTTTTGTTGGCTCCCCGCATGACGTGACGGTGTCAGTGAGGACACTGTAGGTGTGGCACCTGTTGAGTTGCTTGACTGTCCTGTCTAGAGAAGACCAAAGGGAGCATTCAGTGACAGAGTGAGCGGGGTCTCCTTGGTGGGGAGGTGACTGTGGGCAAGAACATGGCTGTGTCCCTCCCCATGACGTCACACACCTTCCAGAAGCTTAGCCAGCACTCACTGTGCTGACTTCCAACATCACACCTTTGGCTAATGCTGTGGTTTTAAGAAAAGTCTGTGTTGAAAAGTTTCCAAAGAACCATGTCCTGGATGGTTTTGCCAGGCAATTCCAGGAACAGTGTGAATGGCTGTCAGGTGGAGGGGAGAGTGACTGCTCTGCTTGGTTTCACTCCGGTGGAGCCGAGGCCTCAGAACGGGGTAGCAGGGTCGGGACAGCACAGTCTGTTGGGCATCAATAGGAGCTTTAAATGACTGGAGTTCCGTTAGGCAACTCTTGATTCTGGGCAGAAGGGAAGGCGAGGATGCTCACATCCGGGTCAGCCCAAGCTCTCCACTGTTCTAGGAGTTGGCACTGGAGGGTCCCACAGGTTCTCAGGAAGGGAAGACAGAAGTGCTAGGGGACAGGGATTCATTCCCATTAGCTAATGGGCTGTTTCCGCCCAAGGGAAAATTACTGGCCACCCCCCTTACCAACCACAGCTTTTTTGGGGGGAGCCTAACAACAGGGCTGTGTTTCCTTGGAGGGCTGTGGCGGTTCGTGGGTGGGTGTTGCTTCCACTCCGAACACTGACTTGGCGGGATGAATGAGTCACAAGGGGAAAGAAAATGATAAAACTCCATCTCATTTGGAAACATGAATCACAGCTCATTGTTTGCAAGTACTTGGAATCTGTTAGAAGCATTGTTTGTAAATGAGACACTTCAGTTATTTATTTATTTTGTAAATTGGGGAAAGGAGTAAACAGCTGATCTGTTGCTTCCTCAGCAAGGCAGGAAATGCTGGTCTCCCCCCCACCCCATTTATTCCAGTGGCGGTTGGGGTTGCCCCCAGTAAACTTACTAGCCTGTTAATGTCTCCCCCTAGGCTTGAATTGGGTGGGTCAGTGTTTATGGATTTGGTTAATTAACAGAGGAATGAATTTTGACCTGTCCCACGGAGGGCTTGGCCTGGGTGAACTTTTCCATCATCCCCCAGCTAGGCAGAGTCTGAGGTCTCAACGCCAATAAAATTATTATGGATCCTGTTCTTAAGATGAGGTAAAAAGATGGAGTGTGTTCTAGAGTCACACCTGAGGATGGTGTGCTTACTTCTCTCATTGGTGTGAGAGGCAGAATAATGGCTCCCTTCCCAAAATGTCCGTGCCCTAATCCCCAGAACCTGTAAATACGTTATGTGACATGGCAGAAAGAGCTTTGCAGATGTGGTTAACGTAATGAGACTTAGAGTTGGAGAGATGATCTTGCATTATCTACGTGGGCCCCCAAAGCAGAGAACTTTCTCTGGCTGGTCACAGAAGAGTGGAGTCAGAGGTCGCTGGCCCTGAGATTTAGGAGCCCCCTTGTAAGAACCAGGGAGCTCAGGGCAGCCCCCAGCTGGCAACCAGCAAGGAAACGGGGACCTTAGTCCTACAGGCACAACTGGATTCTGCCAGTACCCCAGCGAGCCTGGAAACAGATCCCTTCCTGAGCTTCCCACAGGAGCCCAGCGGGCCAACAGCTGGATTTTGAGACGCAGAGCCACTGAATGGCTGACCTGGGGAGCTGGAGATTATATCCCTGTGGACCCTTTGAAGCTGCTCAGGGTGTGGCGGTTTGTTAAGGCAGCAAGAGAAACCTAACAGGTGGTGCTGAGAGCGGTTTGGGAGAGAAAGGTTCTCTTGCTAGCCTTCAGCTTTGTTATGGAAGAGATTGAACACCAGTGGACCCAAGTGTGGGTACTTCATTCTGGCTTTTTCTATGGAGAACTCAAAGGGGATGCGGACACATTTAACTCCTGTCTCACTCATAAGCAAATTACTCATCTTCCTGAGCCTCGGTTTCCCCATCTGGACGGTGGAACTAAGCCTGGCTACCACAAAGACCAAGGACGATGCATTGAAATAATGTTGGCAGAAGAGTGGGCATTGTGTTTGAGATCAGCCAAGCACTCAATGGGGTGTTGCTTTTATTAATTTTTTATTTAATAAAGTACGGTTCAGAAATGTAGTGACAAGTGATTTTCTGTTTGGATTTGACAGGTACAGTTTGCTGCAAGAATACTTTTCTTCAAAAGGTGATTTCTTAATGGTGTGTTTTGCCCCTCTCTTAGGGGAGAGTCTCATTTGCTTGGTGCTGGGGAGCATGACTTGTGTGTATTTAGATTAGTTCTGACTGATGATAACTGTTAGGAGTAGTGTAATGTCCAAATAAATTTGGGAGTGTGGGAGTTGCAGAGAGATGTCTTTTGTTATCTAGAGTAGAAAGCAAGCTGCTACTTTGGGGAAGAAAAATTAGATTTGATTGTAAGTAAATAGAAATGCGGACATTTTCATTCACTGGAGTTGCAGAAAAACCAAATTAGGGCATATTATATTTCTACAAACCTTATTTTACTTTGAAAACATTATAAAAAATTTAAATTTATTGTTGTGCCAATGTTTGCGTAGAATATCACATCTTATCAGGATTGTCTTAGGGGTTGTGAATAGTTCCTTCTCTTGTTTGGTTCCTTCCTTCAATCCTTCCTTCCTCCTCTTTTGTATTTTTTCTTTAACTTTGTATTTTCAGATAATTATAAACACATACGTTTGTAACAGATAATACAGAGAGACCCCATATACCCATTACCAACTTACCTCTAGGTGACATTTTGCCAAACTACAGTATCATACAGAGCCAGGATATTGGCATGGATGCAGTCCAGGTACAGAGCATTGCCATCACCCCCAGGTCCTCTCTTCCTGTCCTTTTTTAGCCACACCCACCTCGCTCCTCCTT